TCTCCCCATAAGAGAATGGTCACACAACTGGCGCAGTGACAGTAATCATGTTTCGCTTCTTGCTGTACCTAGCCTTGGCCTTGGTTTCATCCACAGTGGCTGGTATCGGCAGTTCTCGCCCATCAACACGAATCATTTGAGAGCACAGCTCAATATCGAGGCTCGAGGGATCAGGATGCGTAGTGCTGGGTGCAATTGTGCACACCAGCTGGCCGTTCTTAGTCTCCATGCTCACTTGTGGCTCCTCCTGGAAAAAGAAAACGAAGAGCAACCCCCTGGGGTCAACCACTGGTAGTGCGAGCGAGGATGATTCTCCGATAAGGTTCCTAACCTCACCTTCTGTTCAACGTTCTTCTGTGGTACATCTTCCGCCCACATTGAGTTGTACGACTGTCTATCGAAAATCTCCGCGAGCTCTTTTTGCATTTTCTGGTGCTCTTGAGGCACCGCCGCCGGAGTGTTCTGTTGAGTTGAGGCCGCTGCAAACGAACAAGAACGAATCTAGACAAATCTTTCTCCTAGGATCGTCTTAATAAGAGGATTGGGAACCGAGCAAAGAATGTCATATGCGCACGGACGGAGAGTTAGGGCCCACGTACTATCAACAATCTTGCAGGATTGTCTCAACTTCTTCGGTAGCCATCCCATAGGGTCGCCAGCATTCTCCGGTAGAACCCCTTCAGTGCTTCCACGTTCACCGTAGATTGCCCCCTTAGTATTTTTCAAAAAACCAGGTTTAAGAGCGCCTCGAGCCTTCCTGGCAGGCACGCCAGAGTCGCTCACAACCTGGAACAACACATACAGATCTATTTGCATGAAAATGAGTGAGTGAGCGACTTATATACAAGCGGTCGTTTAGCTCAGTCGGTTAGAGCATCGTGCTAATAACGCGAGGGTCGCAGGTTCGAGCCCTGCATCGACCATTTCGTACAATTAAACGTGCTGCGTCACAAGTATTTGCCCAAGGGTTGTGAATCCATACTTCTAGTGCCTTTCCGAGCTCCCTTTGGGCATATAATGTGGCCTTCTTGCGACACCGCGGACCTTAATCTTATTCAGGTCCGCGGTTTTAGGTCCGCGGCTTTTAGGTCCGCGGGTGGAAGCCCCGTCAATCCGTCTCCAGATCATGACTATTTCATATATTCAAAATGTGCCAAGTCAACCATCGTTTGCCCAGCAAGTGCAAAGCCATAGTTATACGGCTTCTCCGAGCTCCTTCTCAACCTATAGCGTAGCTTTCTTGCGCTACCGCGGACCCAAACGTCTGCGTTTAGGAGCTCCACTCATCCGCCTCCACACCATGACAGAGACTCTAGCCCAGAAGCGTATTCCTCGGCAAACAATGCTCACAGTGAGCAACTCACTGTTTCGTTTCTTCGCAATACGATCAGACACTCTAGTCCAGATTGATACCAACCTCGATGAGCTTAGCTCCTCGGGCATCCGCCTCGTGTTCAACTTCTGGAGTTTCCTTTACCTCTTCGGCATCTTCGGCCTGCTCATCCGCTGGTACGAAATCAACGGGCTTGTTCGTTTGTTCGTCGAGAAACTTGTAAGATGCGTTCAGGAATCTAATACATCAACACATGACCGAAGCCAGAAGTCGATCACTCGGCTACTTCCATCCCTTGATATGAACTTCCTTAACTGGCTTGGCATAGTTCTGGACATTCCTCAGCGCCACTATCACGAGGTCCAGAATCAAGGACTGCCGTGTAGCGTCGACCTGATACGGTGCGGCT